CCCCGGTCTCGGCAATCCACCTTAAATCGCTGCGGCTGCAAAGGAGAAAAAAGGCTGTGTCTGCAGCGACCTTGCCATGATCTAAAGTGTTTTGTTTACAGTCAGGCACCCCCGATGGCTGCAGCAAATCGTGAGAGAGGCAGGGGCCCGCCTGTAGTAGCAGCGAAGCGTGGAAAAAAAAAAAAAGGCCAAAAAAAAAAGCTTTCAAAAAAAAAAAAAAACTAGAGAGTCCCGGAGTAAAGCTCTGGAAAGATCAGAGCGCCATCGTCTTGCAAAAGAGGGGTACAGCAGCCGCGCCGCGGAGGGGGTTTGCGCGGCCGCGCAGCGGAGTGGGGATGAGGATGAGGAGGGGGGGTCGAGCTCCGAGAGCCACCCCAAAGCTCTTGCCGCCAAAAGCCGTTTTTTCCTCGCTCTGTTGCCGTTTAAGCTGAAGATGCAGCCAGTCGAAGATCGGAAGAGGGGATTAGGGGAAAGAAAGGAAAACAAGCAACAGCAACAACCCCCCCAATCCCCCTAAGCAAAACCTGGAGGAGTGAACTAGGAAGGAGGGAGGAGTGTTTATAGGGAGGTCTGTGCGAGGAATGTCCTGGCTCCTCTAACAGCCTCTGAACACCCCGTCCCCTCTCTTCCCAGTACCCTGCTCCCCTCTCTTGTTTGGGGCTTTTCCACTGGCAGAGCTGCTCGCTGTTTTTTCTTTCCTCCAGAACCGCCCAGGCAAGCTTCCCGTCCTCATTTTTGGCCACCCTCCTTCCCCAGCACTTTATAAAGTTGTCAAGTGAACCGGCAAAGCACATCTAAACTGCACACATAAAGCATCTGGGGTGTCTGGGATTTGCAATATTCCCTTGCAAATAGCGGGGAAATTGGGAATAATACCCGAGCTCCTCCACAGGATGCATCTTCCAGAGTTGAGGATGAAGAGGGCAGGAGCATGGAGCGACCCGTTGGAAAGCTGGAGCCTTGAGGAAGTTTGCTTCTCGCCAACCTCAGCTGTTACTGAGCTGATGCTGTTTCCCCACACCTCCAGTTTCTCAGGCAAAATGCTAATTTCCTCAAGATCTGTGGGGTGAGGCCTCTACGACATTCGAGGCGCAGGCCCCGAGAATTCACCTGAGTACACTGGGGATATTCGTAACATGCTTAATGGGAGCCCCTTCCCTTCTGGGCAGGATTAGGGCCCGGTATGGCTCAGCAGCAGAGACTGTCGGGGAGGAAAGAGCCGTTTTAGCTTACGAAGACTCTGGGATATCATCCAGCAGCACCCAGGACCAGAGCGGTGCCGAGGAAGGGGCTGGGAGATGCCAGTCCCCCCCCCCGCATGCCAGGGAGCCGCTCCCGCTGCCCGTCCTGCCTGCAAGCCCCTTGCTGCAGGCAGCAGAGCTCAGCGTGGGCAGGAGGCAGGCGTGCTGCCCACGCCGCGGACGCGGGGGGGGGATACAGCCAAGCCGAGTTTTAAGACCTTTTGCTCATTTGATGTAAACTCTAGAGGGAGCCTAAGGACAGAGATCAGGCCAGAGCCAGGACTCGGCCTCCCTCCTGAGAGCATCCCCCCCCCCCTCCAGGCAGGGTCCCTACTCTCATCCCTGCGGCCCTTCACTTTTTGGGGGGCTCGGCTCTCTATTTCCCTTGCAGCAGGTGGAAAGCAGTTGTGCCCTGGGGTGTGGGCCCCATCACACACCTGCAGAAGCCTTGGATGGGATCAGGGTGCGAGGAACAGTTCAGGGGATTTTGAGCCCTTGAGAGGGTGCTGGCTGGGGGTACAGCTTAGGGGTGTCCTTAATGCGATTTGTGTTAAAAATTGGGTAATCTGTCAGAACTGCCTTCTCTGCACTAGTGCAAGGGGTTGGACCATCTCACCGTGCTGTAGGGCAGATTATACAAACAGTTATGTCTGCAGAAGATACAGGTTAAACTATTAGCACTGAAAAGTTACTCATTCTT